AGCATGCCGTGATTTTTATCAATAATTTCATTTCAGTCTTAATTCAATATATATCAATAATTTTAATTATATATATATATATATATATATATATATATGCAATTATTGATGAAAATCACAACATGTTTGGCGTTAATTAACTTTCAGTTTAACTTTTCGATTTTTCTAGCGTTTGATCGTAAATTATTTTCAAGTTTTTATAGTTCAAAACCAAATTTTTTGTTTATTTTATGCATGATAGAACAAAAAAGCTTTTTTCTGTATTCCTATACCATCTTCAATGTTCAAATTGATATATTTTGTCCTGATGAATTTGATTTCCCGGATCTTGTGGAAGAACTGATTAGAAAATTTGATGAACATTCAGTCGATATGAGCAGAATGATCAATAAACGCACAATCGAAGTGATTGGAATAATACTATCAACCTATAAAAGAATCTCACCCAATGAAAAGACAATCGAAATGGCTATACGAGCAACGGCTTTACATGAGCCTGAAATTATCCCACCGGCTTATCCATCTACGGATGAATTCGCTTGCAACACACGTGATAACTGCGACGCACGTGTTAACAGCGATGCAAGTGTTGCCGTGAAGAAAGAAAGTTACCATAATAATAAAGCTGCTAACGAAGACGACAATGAAGATTTTAAAAATATTCGAGAAGTTACCGACAAAGATATGGGCTCTTTTGATATGCACTGAGACTACTACTCGGATCTTTCTGCCAGCAAATTACCTGCTCTTATTTATAATACTCACTACAATCGTAATGGTGATGACAAAGGCGATGAAGTTTTTGAAAAAAGTCTTGAAGTTGACAGTGATAAACATACTGAAACTTTTGATATGCAATGGGACTACTACTCGGATCTTTCTGCTAACAACTCTCCTGTTTTCATGGATAACAACGACAGCATTAACATAAGTAGCAACAACGATTTCGATGCAACACTCACCAACAATTCAATTTATGATCATTTGGATAAGACGTCAACTTGGGGGAGCATTAACCTAGAGATTAACGACGTCAGTGAAGTGATTTTAATGTTAATGCAAATATGCATCAGGACAATAATTTGGGACAGACGATATTTCAAGTTTTGAGATAACCATTCCAACACGTACGTGGAAGTAAAGCTTGGTTTTCGTCTATCTGGATGATGACCTTCAAGACTGCTTCATTGCTGATGAGGATGAGATTTTCATCGCTGCATCACTGATCGACAGAAAGGATGTAAACAACGAATATTACAATATGCACCTAAGCTATCCGTATAGTCATTCTACAACGTGTAAACTCAGTAGAAAGATAGAACTCGTTAGATCGATACAAAAGATACTCGGCAAAACTTCCAAAAAATTAGAAAGGCAGGTACAAGACCACTAACAAGATAAATGGCGTGATCTATAGGACCAATGATTCTGGAAGAAAATGGACAAGGATGGAAGTTGTCCATTAGAATAGAAGTAAGGCCTATGTTAGAGACTAACAGGCTAAGGTGGGAGTAATGTTATAACCGTGGAAGTGACCGAATTGCGCTATATTATTTATTAGTTGATTATTGTTATCTTTGCCATATTTGTAATCTTTAGAAAGATTGTAAAATTGTATCTGTGCTATAAATCGGCTATGAAGCCCTTTGTCAAACTGAAATTTCAGTTAATATAAAAATTCGAAAAATCTTTAAGAGTAGATCTAACAATTGTTCAAAAAGTAAAATACAATAAACTAAATATAATAAATCGAATGTTGGAATGTGTATTGATTACTTGTATGTACAAGTGTCTTGATTACTTTTATATACAAGTAATCAAGAAACAAACCGTGAATATATTAAATTAACGGCGGATGATGCGCGTTTTACATTTTGTTTTTATATGGCTTCATACATTTTAGAATACGTTCATTAAATTGTTTCACAAAAATCGGATAACTCCTGAATACTAATATAGTATACTTGAGAAGTAGTTTAATTTATTTGTTTTTAATTTTGCCTTTAATTTTTGAAATAAAAATAATAACATCAAAATGATAACAATAAACGATATTAAACATTTAATGGCGCCATGTGCACAGCTGCTTCAAACACGCCAGACGCATTTGCAAACAATTGTTTGCAAATTTCTTAATAACTAGGTTTGTTGTGGGCTATTTCAAAACTTAGGAAATAAAAGATGCTGGCCTTCTCTTAATAAAGATACATTTCTTCAATCTCTTAGTGAAACTATTTTTGATACTTCCTTATTTTCTGATGTTGATGATTTTGTCTATGCTTTTAATATCTACATTACTTCTATTCTTGATAAGTTTATTCCTCTTAAATCTTTTACTTATAGGCTCTATTCTCGTAAGGCTTCTTGGTTCGACTATGCTTGTCAGAAAAGTGTTAGAAGACTGGAGAAAGCCTATAGGTTAACTCTCTTTATTCTATCTATGAATCTGAGTTAATTAACTCTAAATATGTACTATTCTCTAAACACTTTATTTTTCTTTAAAATTCTATAATATCTGCTTCAACATCTAAAAATAGGTGGTCTCTTCTATCTAAACTTCTTCATAAGAAATCCTCTCACATCTTTTTCTGCTCAACAGTTTCATGACTTTTTTGTAAATAAAATTAATTCTTTGAGAACATTTAATTCTAATTTTTCTCCTCATAACTTTACTAAACTTACTACTGAACTAGAAATTATTAATTCTATGTCATCTACAACTTGTTCTCTAGATCTACTTCCTTCTAATTTAAAGAATTTTGTTTAATGTTATATCCTATCATTCAAAAATTAGTTAATTTATCTCTTTCCACCTCTAAATTTGCTACTTCTTATAAAAATTCTATTGTTATTCCTATTCTTAAAAATTCATCTTTAGATCCTTCCTTTTTATTTAATCATATACCGACTAATAATTTTACTTTCATCTGTAAAATAATAGAAAAAGTAGTTTATTATCAATTGTCATCTTATTTAAACTCTAATTCCTTGCTATCTGTATCTCAATCTGGTTTCAAACCTGCTCACAGTACTGAAACTTCTTTACACAAAATACACAATGATATCCTTCTTTTTAGTAACAATAGTAATCTTATTCTTTTTCTTGCTCTTGACTTTTCCTCTGCTTTTGATACTGTTGATGATCATACTATTCTCTTGAAGCTGCTAGATCTTTCTTTTAATATTACGGATTCTTGTCTATCTTGGTTTTCTTATCTCTGTAATTGTTTTTCTTCTGTTGTTCTCAATAATTCTACTTCTAACTCCTCTACTCTTACTTTCGGGGTACCTCTGATGAAATTATTTAACTTACTAATCTTTGGCCCTCTTCAATTTATACTCTATAACTCTGAACTACCTCGTATTATTAATAACTTTTCTTTCTCTAGTCAACTATATGCTGATGATTCTTATATTTATACTTCTTTTCCTCCATCTAATCTTAATAGTGTTCTTTGTAATCTATCTCTATGTCTTTCTTCAATTATCGCTTGGTCTGACTCTATGTGTCTTAAACTTAATCCTTCTAAATTTTAATTAATTTGTTTTAATAAATCTAAACACTCTATTACTATTCCTCCTATTATCTTACCTGATTCTAAAACTCTTGATTTTTTTCATAAGTTTCGTAGTCTAGGCTTTATCTTTAATTCTAGTATGTCTTTTTCTTCTCAGATTAATAGTGTTGCTAGAAGTTCTCACTTTCATCTACGTAAAATAAAAAATTTTTGCCATTTTTTGATGATCCTTCTCTTCTCCTTCTTGTTACTTTGTTAGTCTTATCTAAGATTGATTATGGTCTTCCTGATTCTATACTCCATTCTTTAAGTAAAGCTTTTAACTCTGTTGCTCGTCTAGTTGCTCGTGCCAATTTCTTTTCTCATATATCTCCATATCTTGTTCTCTTGCACTGGCTACCTATAACATATGGAATAATTTTTTAAATTTGCACATTTATATATAAGTTTCAATCTAAATTATTTCCTAAGTACTTATCAGATATATTAGTTGAACCTAAACGCCCGATTTACGATCATCTTCTTGCTCTTGCTTCTTCTTAACTCGTGTTGAACACTCTTTTGCTTTTGTTTTTTCTGGCCCTTTTCTCTGGAACTCTCTACCTACTTCTCCATCACTTACGAAGTTCAGAGCGGATCTCAAGACCCATCTGTTTGCAAAATTCATTGTGGAACGGAAATAGCGCTTTACAAGCTAATTGATTAATTGATTGATTGATTCTATTATGGTTGGCATTGAAATTAACGTTTTAACAAGTCTGTGTTTAAAGCAGTTGTGTTTACTTTTCAGAATTCAGTGAGCCTAAGGAAGATAATTACTTTACGGTCCTGCAAGTTACAATACATATCTTCACTTTTGCCGTTTTTGCAGAACATGGTTAATAAAATCTAGAAACTGCAATACTATCCAGGTCCCAAAAGATCGCTCTGGTGAAACCGCTGTTGAAAAAACTAGGTTTGGCAAGTAATGTTGTGGCCTATTTCAATAAATACTACAATAATTGCTCGTCAACTTCTCGCCTATTTGAACAGCAACTCATTGCTTCCGAAGGTTCAATCAGGCTTTCGTCGAGCACATTCAACCGAGACGGCGATACTGAAGGTGGTTTCAGATGTCTGTGACGAGATTGACGCTAGAGACATTGCACTGCTTGCACTTCTTGATGTAAGTGCTGCGTTTGAAACTATGGATCATCAAATCCTGTTGGATACTAAACGTTGACAAAACACAGTATATGTGGATGGGAACATCGCATGGTCTCAGTTTGTAGATGATTTGTAGATCTCCAGTAACTAATCTCGAAATTATACTGGTTTCTGACCTATCAATGGATGGTCACGTAAATAAACTTTGCCGTCGATGTTTTTACAAACTTCATAAAACCAGGTCAATCAGACGATATCTGACTGTTTAGACAACAAATGCACTTGTTTGTAGTTTAATTTGCAGCAGAATTGATTACTGCAATGCAATAATGTACAGTATAAAAGTTTCCCTTCAGAATGACATGCAATCAATGCTAAATACTGCTGCAAGACTGATTGCAGGATTCACGAAGTTCGAGTCAATATCAGCCTACATCAGAGATGAGTTGCACTAGCTTCGTATGCCGGAAAGAGTTTTGTTTAAATTGGCTATCCTTGTCAGAGATTTACTGGCTGGCAAGGCTCCATGTTATCTGAGAGAGCAGCTCCAACCAGTATCTGAGGTTACAAACAGAAACAGACTAAAATCTTCTGATAATGGAGATCTCGTGATCCCAAAGCACAAATCTTCACGCTTTGGAAGAAAAAGATTTTCGGTGTCGTCAGCTCAAATTTGGAATGCACTGCCAACAGATCTGAAATGATTCAGCGGCATGGATCGATGGATGTTCAAGAAACGTTTAAAAAATCATCTATTCAACAATCCACAGCGATGTCATTCTGGAGGGGCGCTATACAAGTCATCAAATACAAATATCTAAACTGCAATAATTTTTGAATTATTTTAATTTTTGGCTATAAATTATTTTAACTTTTTCTGCCATAAATTTTTTTCTTTTTTAGTTAATTTTATGCAATCCATTCAGTTGATAATAAAAAATTAGTGCAGATGAAAATAAATGTGCCTACAGCAGCTTCAATCAACTTTTGAATGAAAATTTTTAGTTTTTTATTAACAATCACTGAATTAATGATCAAATACTGTTTTTATAAATAAATTGTACATTTTAAAAAATTTAAACACGACTGTTTCTATTGTTCTAATTTTATAATTATGGCTTATCTATTCATTACAACCGTTATCTAAATTTTAATTACCAATTTGAGAAATGTAAAATAAATACAATTTAACTTTTAAGGTTCTTTAACACGAAATTCAATTTCGAACATCAGTTCACAAGTCAAAATTAGAGTTTTAAAAAATTATAGTTATCATCTAACAATGATAGAATAGCGGAAGAAACAATTGGTAAGGACACGAGCCGCAATTGCAACATCCTGCAGTTCATTTATAGTCGTTAAACTGATCATAAGTCAATCAAGTGGACCAACGATAGAATAAAACGATATGTAAGTTGTCTGTGGTAAAACTGAATGAATTGGATATAGTATCCAATCCAAAAATGAACAACACAAAATTACATTTTATTTAAGATAAGCATATAGTTAAATAAGAGCACGAATCAAGTTATTTAAAGGAACAATGGAAAAAAAATTAAAAAAACTTCACTTGAACGTTCTAGTTGTGAATCCGAATTATAAATTGATATTATAGTTTGCTATCCCCACATGAAACTAGCAAATTTAATTATCTTGCAAAAACTTTCAAATGTAAGCTAATTGTAAACTTTGTAAAATAAATTAAAATTGTAAATTTATACCCATCTATAAATTTAAATTAATTAATTCTCTTTATGTTTATCTCTCTCTCTCTCTCTCTCTCTCTCCTTCTATATATATAT